ATTACATTTCATAATTTGTAATGAAATTAATAAAGTTTTCTAAATAAATTGGAATAATTTGTAAAATATATTATTATTTTTACTAATATAATTAGGGGTGGCAATCGGGTCCAAATCGGATTGGTGGGTCGCGTTGAGACCAGGTATAATAGAAAACTCGCTGACCCAAACCTAACCTACCAACCCGAAATGGGTCAGGATATCTGACCCGAATCAAAAAATTTCATGTTGGTGGGTTGACGGGCTGACCCGAATGACCCGAAACTTAATTTTAATTTATTTATTTACCACTATAATTTCTAATAAAGTCAATTTTGCACAAGACTAATTACATAATCAAGTAATAAAAATTTAAATAAATAATCCCAAACCGAAACTAAAATAAATTAAAACACTGTAAAAGTATTTTATCTCTAAACAAATATAAAATAAATTAAAGCAGTATAAAAGTAAAAAAAAATATAATACATTATTTGTCCAAATATAATAATTTCAATTTCACACAAGTTAAATAAATTCATTTAGGATTAAGTGATTAATGCCTTTGGAAAAAAAGAATAACTTAGGAAATTCTAATTTATGAGCACTTTCATAACTGTTATTCTTAATAATTTAAAATGTGCAACTTAGGAGATGAACTATGAAAGTATGAAAGTCAACTATGAAAGTATGAAAGCAACTTGCAGAGCAGTTGAACTATGAAAGTATTCATAGTTGGGAAAAATTCTAATTTATGAGCACTTTCATAACTGTTATTCTTAATAATTTAAAATGTGCTTAAGAGCCATGGAGAATTAACAGAACGGCTGTCTCGGTAATGTGTTTGGAGTTTATCAATTTTTTTTTTACTATTAAGTGTTTTTTTTCCATGTTGTAACTGTACGTCTCTTATTGAGCTTTTTGTTTGAATTCATCCTTATTCATAAGAAAAGTAATTAGCTTCAGTTTGAAATCAGAAGATAGAATATTCTCCTATCTTACTAAATGTGCTTTATATTTGAAGAGAGAAGCAGTGTTCTCTCGAGTGCATATGACAACCACTAATTTGAGCAGCTTGGTTCTTCTGTGTCCAGGGATGTAGGAATTAACTTAATATGAGGCAGGTGCCTAGCTAAAAGTTGGTCCCATTATTCCTAACAGCAGATTGTCATTAAATAGAAAGGTTGATTAGTTGTTTATTCGTAGAGGAAGTTGGAAGATACTATTTGTTTGGACTTCTAGTAAGGGCTTACTGAGGAAATCGCGGCACTTAAATTCACAAAGGCCAATGCTCTCTCGTTAAACTGTCGCCAGCCTATATAGGCATCGCAACACACTTTTTTTTTTTGGGTCGAAATGATACACTCGTTTAGGAGTAAAAACTTCTAATGCTTGCAGAAATAAAAAAAGAGTACGTGCTCCCACAACAGAATGGATGTTACACCGCCATTAATATGGTAAGGGCATTTTCCAGTGAACTTAAATCACAAATAGAAACAAACCATATGCTTGGTTTCAAACTCAAAAACTCATTTCGCAAGCTCCAGAGTTTCGAAATTCCGGCTTTATGGATACAAGCAAAGCACATAAACGCCCAGGTACTTGGTTAACACAGCAAAAAACTCCACGGGAAAGTTCATGTCGTGCTTATTTCGTAGAAGGAAATTGCAGACTATTAGTATAGCATAGCAGTCACAACACTTCCACAACACATCTTCAAGTTTTCCGGGATCTATCCAGTTTAAAGCCTAAAAAACCGTGTGCTGAGTATTGTATAACACGAGTATCTGAGTTGCTTTTCGAGTTCTGCTGATCAAGTAAGCCAGTCCAATTTGAAGTAAACAACAAAATCCACATGCACAAGACATTTGATATGAAATTGGTATTTCACAATAGGAGAAAACGGGCCATTTTGAGCATCAGAATGAATCTACTCACCTATTTATTTAGTACTTGGACTAAACAAAGGTCCATCTAATTCAAATTGGCCAACAAGTCACTAGAAAATAGAATTTCACCTCCTTACATTGAAATGCAATGCTGGATTTAAATTTTCCATGCAACGTGTTCTTCCACCTCAGGCCTTAAATATCGGAATTTCAGCCTAATTATAATGAACCGCACTTGCAGCAACTAGATTAATCTGAAAGAAGCAACAGCCTGCAGAGAATCAGAGCATATCATCATAAGGAAAATCAATCATTTGATGCTTACATCGGCTTATGTCTCTATTGCCTTTAGACTGAGGTTCATGCATGTAGTTTGAATGTTTACCACTCACAAAAATAGCAAAAATTCCTGCTTTATATCTCAAAATGTCTTTGTAGTTCCAACATGAAGTGTAATCCTGAATTTAAATATCCGTGTACAGACCATGCTGTCCAATTAAAGAAATAATTTATATCAAGTTAGTCGACATTTGAGCGAGAAGAAATTATTCGATATTAAATAAAGAATATATCGAGCACGATTGACAACACCTTATCATACTACGACCTTTTTTCACATCCAAGACGTTAAACTTCATATAAAACCAATGAGTTTGCCACACAATTCTATGATTGAAATGCTCATAACTTTGTTATAACTTCTTCGAGATTTATATTTTGCCCATTTGGCGTAGATATATATAAATTCAATGTATGAAATGAATATGTCATTATTCCTTGCACTACAAATTTTCTTGAGCCTATACATATTATGCAATTGGTGTGTAATGAGTTAGATCTGTTAAAGCTAAGTTCTCATAATTGATGAAGTGTAAGATGTCATTCTCTCTTCGGTGAAGATTCCTAGGACCAAGTAAAACTGGGAATTGAGTAACTATAGTAACAGTCCATTTGGCAATTAGAACTTTTAATTTTCTTACCCGCACAGAGTAGCAATCATAACATACAAATTTCTCTTTGACATTTCACCGAACATCTTATATGCATTCCCAAATTAATCACATTTAACTTAAACACATTGTCTCAAGTCCTTTCCTAGATGTTTCATATGGCTATTAAGCACATTTTACCCGTAGACAATCAAAACTACAACCATTTCCTAGATGTTTCAATGGACAATTTCAGCCCCAAAATTGCAATAAATTCTTCAAATTCTCAGCCCTGATTTCGCAAGAAAATCTTGACAAACAAAACAAATGAAATATAAATAAATTACAGCAATATAATCAAATGATTTCAAGAGCATGATGGTCTAACCTCGTCACCGCTATTTTTCATATGCTCTTTGGTTGGCTACCACCGTTGCTAACCCTTTTGTTGTGTCTGATAGGGGGGAAACCTTTCTCCTGAACCTGTGCTATCTATAAAGCATATTTAGCTTTTCCTCCGCGCCTAGGCAGGCCAATTGATTGACCGAAATGAGAATCAATGCTTAGTAGAAGGCAGAAACAGAGACTGAGGCATGAAACCTACCAGAAGAGTTCAGCCTGAAGATATGATAGAATTGCTTAGCCCGCTTGATCAATTTTCTAAATTTTAGCAAAAGCTAATCCCGTTCCATAAGATGATGATCGTACTCCTTCCTTATCCAGGAAAAAATTTCTACAATCTTCCGTGAGGTGAGAAGAAAATAAAAAGAAGGGAAGCAACTTTAGAGAGATGTGGAAACCCAAACCGTTTTCAGAAACCGGTTATTTTCTTACTTTAATATGTAAATTTTTTACTTTTAGTATTAGTAAGTTTAAATTAAACAAAAGTAACATTTGTCAAATAATAAGTAAATTAAATTACTGAAAGGGTAAATTTCTATTTTTGACTAAAACTTATCTTTCAGGCATATATTTACTAGTTTTAATTAAAAACTTACTAAAGTTAATATTAATCATTTTAATATAATATTTAAAAAGTCGCTAAAAAATTCGATTTGTCACTAAAAGTAATAGAAACCTGTAATAGTAGGTTTTCTGATATCGTTACCATAACTATAGGCACTGTAGCATTGTCCGATAGTGTATATAAAACTTACTCTTAGTTTTAAGCATAAACATGCAAATCTCACACTCATGGGCTAAATTTTGGTGTAGAAAATTTACATTATATCACAAGTTTGGGCGAATTTCGGTGTACATTATATAATAGACTTAAATGATATTTTTCTTAAGACATTGCTCATTATATCATAGGATTAAGTAAATTCATATCACCTTCGCACGCATCCTACACTTGCATGAACAAGAGATAGCTAAAGGTCTCCCCAGACAGTACCCTATCATACTCCACACCACACTGTACTACCAAACTAGTCACAGCAGCAAAATTACTAGTCTGAGCTAGGCTCACGCATGGCGTCAGGACTAAAAAACTAGTCTAGTATAAAATGTATACTGTGATAAACCTTTTCTGTTTAATTCCCCCTTTTCTATTTATTTATGCTCGCTTTCCACAGTTCACTTTCTGACAAAAAGATACTATAAAATTTTTTACTATCACTAGCCTAATATATATACCTCGTATCAACAATTAAAATCATATTAACACCACAAGCAATTCATCAAAGAAATAATAATATGTTGAAATTCAACAACTGTTATTGCTTATGAACTTGAATTGAAAAGTACAATTACCATCAGTTTAGCACAGTTTTTTTTTTTATTACCATAGTAAATTACCCTTATATTTACTCCATATTTTATTTAAGCTTGTAGCATACTCGTAAGAACTTATATTGCCAAATTTCTTTTGACGTTTATTTTTTGAAAATAATTTCTACATCTAAAATTCTTTATTTTGATAACTATATCTCTGACCTTCCGTTTTCGTTTTGGACATGATAAGTTCCACATTTCATAGATTAAACTCAAAGTGAACAAAAAATTAAAAAAAATAATAATGAGTTAATCTGTCATCTTATATTTGAAATCCTCCCCAAATATGACAAAACGTAATTTCATATATAAATATCGTACATTTTTACTTGTGGAAACATACATTTGCACAAATGTCCACGCGCAGGAAATATGAATCCTGTTGTGCTATTCAAAACAGAAACAGGGGCCATTTCATTTTCCATGCTAATTTATGTCCCTCTCAAAGCCGAGTCTCGCAGCACATGCGACTCTTACCATCTCAAAGCCTGCCTTTTACTTTTAGACTTTTCCAAGGTTTCTGGGCGAGGAAGATCATGACCTCGATTAAGCGATAACGGTCAAACAACGTTTTTTCATTTCTCGGGCGGAAGAGAATTCTTTTGGTCGTTCAATATTCGCGAAATTTTAACGTGACCTTCCTGTCTGTCGCAGCTTGTTACTGACTTTAGGCAGTGCCAGTCCTTACGATCTGAGACTTTCTGAGCAGCCAAAACAGCAAGTCAACGTCTTTACTCAGCTTCAGATGTAGATCTTCACATAGTAGTATCTTTCCTGGGAAATTGATTTTCTTTACTTTGCCTATATCCTAAAGGAGCATCCTCCCTTGTTGACTTTTTTTTTCCTTCTGATGTTTCAGGTCTTCTGGTAGGGTATGACTTTCGTGAAGAAGTTTTTTAGTGTTGCTGATTTGCAGACACTGAGCATGACCGGTTCGCCTGGCTATAATCGGACGATAACAAGGAGATATCTTGGGTGATCGGGAATGTGGATTTCTGTAGATGCAATTATGCATAATCTACTTGTGGTTTGCGGATGCCTGAGCCTGAGGTATTAGCTTAGTAGTAAAGACCGTTATCGAAAAATTGATTTAGCCATGTTTGTATTCATGTCAGGTGATCCTTTCCTTTGATAACTGTTGATCCTCATCTCTCCCCATTTAGAAAAAAAATTTCTGATTAGACAACGCAGTGAATTGAATTTTATTCTTTATTCATGGGTTTTCTTCTGAACTCTCAAAAGTACCACATGGCTTGTAACACAGGTAGATGTAGCATGCCTCATTGTTGTGATGTTATAGTATAAAAATCAAACAGGAATAGATCAAAGTTCCCTTGTTTTCTTGTGGCTATACAATTCCAAAAATTCCCTTCCTGATGATGTCTTTGAAACATAGGTAGAATGCTAACTGGAACGACCAAGAAATTTCAGCTTCTTCACAGTTTGTGTGTCTGTGTGCACGCCCGCCTTTTTTTTTTTTTATTTTTGGTTTGGCATTACGAAAATTACAAGTTTATATTGGCCTTATTTGTATTCCGTTGTGGATACTGTTTTCTTCTTAGGTGTATCACTTGTATGATTACAAGTGATGTACAAGACTGTTGAACTTTACTTCATCAGTCTTTCACTGTAGACCTTGCACCCCATTTTGGGATCATGCATTGAGCAGTTTTGGATTTTCAAAGTATTTTTGGTACAAATCAATGGATGGACCAATTGATGCGTGCTTTGTTGAATGTTAATTGCTGGCGGAACTTGGAAAGTATGTTCTAGTATTGAGATTCTTATTGGTGATAATCATCCAAATGCTTACGCAAAACCAGACATTTGCACGGCAAATATGCAAATATTGGCCGGAATATCATAGCGGCACGTTTGGGAATCTTTGGGTATTTGGCCCCCATTACAGGGTTAAGGAGTTGGACTTCAGATGCAATGCTAAGAAGGATGCTTTGGACTTTGTACTGGAGAAGTCAGGATGTACTCTACCAAGACTTCTGACTACACTAGAAGATATTGAAGAAGAAGCAAGAAGGACTTATGCTGATGATACATTAAACGACTTACAAAGAGTCAAATTCCTGGAAATGATGGCAATGGATGGGTGTTTTTTCCTCCTGCTGGCGTTCTCTATTCTTGGATTGGGATCAACCGGCACAGAAGTAGGATTCCCTGAGAAGCATTTGGTTTTTGGTATAGGATGTGTCAGAAAAGAAATAGACCTGTGGATCCGTTCCATGTTCTTCGTGGGGAACCAAATTCCGCTCATAGTACTCGAGGAAGTCATGAAACTAAGATTCTTTCAAGAATTAAAGACAGAAAAGCAATGGAATCAGCCACTGGACTTCGTTAAAAGGGCCTTATATAATTTCCTCACAGTCGAGCATCAGCCGAAATCAATTGATTTGATCCATTGCCTCCAGTCGACCTTTCTTGGGAGAAAAAGTGGCTTACATGTCACTGTACCCATAATGGACACTGATGCAAGTGATGCAATAGAGGGGATACCTTCTGCAACAGACCTGTTTAATTTAGGCCTAAAATTTGAAAAATTAGAGGGAGAATTGGGAATTAGAGGTATACACTACACATACTCTGCCTTTAATCATGTTCTATACTTGCCTGTTTTCAAGGTTGACAGATACACAGAGCTGATTGTCAAGTGTCTTTACAAGTACGAGATAGTTCAAGCGTCCAGAGGCATTGTACCAGATGTATCCCCCTACTTCAAAGTTTTCAGTGAGCTACTGCGCACACCAAAAGATGTTGAACTCCTTACCTCACAGGGAGTCATTCAAGGACAGCTAGAGGGCTTGCGACGACTTCTGAGCTCCTTTGACGGCATGGAACCATCCGAACATGTACGCCATGTAAGAAGAGAGATCAGAAAACATCCTCCACCGGACTGGCAGATGTGCATAAAGTTCTTACTAAAGCTGATTGCCCTCATTGCTGCAATTCTCACTTGGATTTTTTGCTTTCCTGCAAGCAGTAGCCTTCTTGGCTGCAACAAATAGGAATACGCTCGCTCGATGATCTTATGGCATCTTATGGCAGCCTATGGCCTTCTTGGCTACCACAAATAGGAAGGAAAAGCAGACTTGTTGCTTGATGATATTATGGCCACCATAAAGGGAGAGTGGACTTGTGCTCGATGACCTTATGGCATCATCATAAAGGGAGAGCAGAACTGAGTTTGATTTTTCTCAAGTACTTAATATTGTTAAGTGAACTTTTTTTTTTGGTTATTGTTGGTACTGCGAATAGGACCATATTTGCTCAATGATCTTATGGCATCATAAAGTGAGAGCAGATTGAACTTTGCTTTATGAGTTTTTGTAATACAACTATGTTACAGTTAATTATGATCCTTGCTGCATCATTACAGTGAATCAAATCTCCCTAAATTAACCCCATTCCCTGCACTCCAAAAAATTAATTGGGTGATTCTTCTGGCATTCTGTGCATGCATATTTCTAATTAATTGCTCGGTTCAATTACTGCTCTACTACTGATGGTAGGGAAGATAGGGCCATTTGGGTGATTTTGGGGCAATTCCCCAACACATATTGTTTTCACAGCATACACTATTTTCAAGTACGTATTGTTTTGGATTTTTGGATTAGTTTTTATTACAAATTTGTTGATGGTTTATATGCTCTAAATTTGATCCTGGAAGAAAATTCTTATGTTAGGTTCTTAATTATTTTCGGTCAAATTTTTATCCACCCTTGGAAGCCGCTTGCTTCATTACTTTGCCTGCCTTATTTGGTTGGTTGGGTTCAAGTATTTTGTGTCCTTACAGCCAAATATGTTTTTTTTTCTTTTGTTGAATTTCTGCTTTTGAGGCCTTTAGACATGACAATGAGTCCGAGAAGTTCTTCCAGTGCATTCTGGTAAACTTGAAATTTTGTCTCTGTTTTCAGCATTTCATTTGCATTCTATAGTTTATTTGCTGTTTCTCTTTCTCCCACATTTAGTGCTTCTTATTAGTCGAAATTTAGGATGGAACTTGGCAAACTATCAAAAGAAGCTACATAGTACTTTGAAATTTTGTAGGTGTATACTATCATTCTCAACCAATTTTCCTTAAAGGATTGCCTCATTCCCCCTCTTCCAAGGGACTGAACCTCTTAGGTAATAGTCATTTGGTATGATTTAGTTCAAGTGAATGGATAAATTTTCTTTATACCATGTTCGTGTTGTTTGATGATACGGAGGGAGCTCTTTGATTTGTATCCACTTACTACATGCTAATTGTTTTAAAAGGCTTGATTGGAAAGCTATTAGATGGTGGTCTCACCCCCTTTCCCGGGGTCTCTTGTCACCATTGAAGCTCAAAGGAATGTAGTTTCAAGAATGCTTAATACTTTGTGAAGATAGTAATGTAGTTTCAAGAATGCTTAATACTTTGTGAAGATAATGATCACGATCAATATGATATTATGGAATAAACAATGAAAGTGACTGGTAATACATGTGCTCCACGTACGTGATGCATGTTCAAAATGTCATTTATAAATTACTCGAAGTTTGTAATTATAATTCTCTGAAGTGACTTTTTGTGAATAAAATTTTTTGAGGTTTGTGTTTTGCTCCTTTGTGATAAGGTCATGCTTCAATCTATGCTACAAGCCCGTACATTGTGCCAGCATGTATCCGTATTGATTTTACCTATGCACCAGCTGCAATCGTTTTTAGCTTATCATCCTCAAGATCAGTCGGTGTGGCAATACATGAAGTGACAATGGTGCATTTATGCTTCTAATGCACTAAAAGAAATGCTGGAGTTTGAAATCTGACAATTTTATATGTTGATGGCATGAACAAATGATGGAGCCCCCTAAAAATGTAGCACAAAGCAATCCAATGAAATTTGAAAGGAAAAAAAAAGAAGAAAGAAAAAGAATGGTGATCAGCAAACTAACCAAAATTGTACTCAACGTCCTGATAAACTGAAACGGAGTTGCATAAACAATAATTATTGGTTGAAGAAGTTTCATGGGAAAGAGAGAGAAGATCTTTGAGTTCAGAATCTTCAGAGTAAAGTCAAATACTCAGCAAAGTAACCAATCCATGCTCTAAGCTGCAAATTCAAATATCTTAAAGATACATTTTCTAGATTTTGAGGTCAAAAAGAAAAGGATAATGCTCGGCCTATAAACTGGCTAGAGAGAGAGTGAATAAAACATGTACATGTACAAGAGGTAGGTGGTTTAGAGAAGACCCTAATGCCATTGGATGATGAGCCTCAGTTAAAAAGACCAACGCCTCAGTTTACCTCTTTGCACTTATTGGTTTCTATGGCTACACACACAAACACATACACCTTCACAGTTTCCATAGTTCCCAGCTGAAACCATGCCGTCTGAAGTACTTGAAACTCCTGACACAACAATAACAACATTAAAATTCAACAAACCCTTTAAATCTTCATAAAACCAGGAGTTCAATATAAAACATGCCACCTAATGTACATAAGTATCTCTTGTGAAACTCCTGGTAAGCTCTCAAGGCTTTTGCAGTTTGTCGAAGGAAAGCATGCTATAGTGCATTTGCATAATGGACAAAACAATTAAAGCCGAGCAAATAAAAGGCATGCACTTTAGAGGCTTTTGCCACTGCCAGGGGGGATTTCTTACAATCTCTCTTTTAACCGAGTGCATATAACCAGATGAAGCCATGCCATCTAAAGTACTTAGAAGTCCTTGTAATCTCTCTGACCTTCCATGAATGACTCCTTCAGACACAAGGATTTCAATATCTTTTGGTTTATGAATCAGCTCGGACATGAACTTAAAGTAGGAACTTGCCTCAGGTTCGACCCCTCGGCATTCTTGAACAGTCTCATATTTCAGAAGACATTTGATTAAAAGACCTGTGTATCTGTCAACCCTCAAATCAGGTAAGTAAAGAACAGCTGAAAACTTATTGCAATCGTAATGCATTCCTCTGATCCCCAATTCTCCTCCTAATTTTCGGAATCTCACACCCTGTTCAGATAATTTGCTAGCAGAAACACAGTCCTCTATGTCAGTGTCCTTTTTCCCCACAGCTACGTTCGAGCTGCATTTTGGGCCAAGCATGATGCTCTGGAGGCAATGGAGTAAGTCAACTGGTTTTGGAACCAGCTCAACCATCAAGAACTTATGCAGGGTTCTTTTGGCCAAACCCAATTGCTGCTGCTTACTTCCAATTGTAGCTTTCATTCTTTGAAAGATATCAAGGTGCATAAGTTGCTCCAGTACTATGAGTGGGATTTGATTTCCAACAAAGAACATGGACTCTATAATGTTGTCCATGTATTCAGTGGCACATCCTACGCCAAAAACAGGATGATTCTCTGCATACTTTAATTTTTGTGGATCGGCTCCAAGAATTGAGAATGCCAGAAGGAGAAAGAAGCAACCATCTTTTATCATTAAATATTGAAACTCAAGCACGGTCAAGTCATTCAACGCATTATCAGCATAAGCACCTCTTACTTCTAACTCAATATTTCCTATAGCATTCATAACTCCTTGAAAAGAAACTTGTGAGTTGCTCCGTATGCGTTCCATAGCTTCCTCCTTAACACACTCTGAGAATTCGGTACCAAATCTCCTGTAATTTGGACCAAATACCCAAAGCTTTCCGAATTTTCCTCCATGAAATTCCGAGTAATATACACAAATCTTGCGCTCAACTGGAGTGAGGGCAGTCTTCTCGTCTTGAATACACAGCAGCTCCATCCGGAAGCAGTAATAAACTGAAGTATATGAATTAAAAAGACTGAACCTTCTACCTGCAATCCTAACGATCAACCCCATGTAAGTACCTCTGTGACTACAATATTACGACAACCAAATGACAAAAACCATTCAAAAAGTAAAGCTACCAGGATGAGATGAGAGTAAATTTGATACTTTTAAGGGGTAAATGAAATCCTAGCCAATTCAAATCGACTCCCATTTAGGATCTCGTATTGAAAAACATCTCGTTAGGGATTTCAATCAAATAGAAACTTCAAAAGCAGTGGACTTCCAGACGAGGATAAAAACATCCAAAGTGAGAGTTAATTTGAATCTCCACCATCCGTCATGATTTCTAGTCGGATCCTCACTATTAACATCAACAAATGGAGACTACATAATAGTTAAGGCAGGAGAAAGCCAAGCAAAAATATGGCATTAATTGATCCTGAAATCTGAGACATTATAAAGAGGTTCTGTTCATACCAACTAAACCACAATTCAGGACCCAGCATATAACAATGAACAATCAACAGAAGTGACTCAAATTAAAGAAAGATGAGTGCTTGGATCGATATTATCAATCTACATTCATCGTTTCTTATATTAAAAAAAAAGGGCAAAGAAAGAGAAAACCCGCCAACAACGATTCATCTATTGGATGCCAAAATGACTACCGCCTCAAAGCTGAAGCTTTTAGCTTTCTTTTTGCTTTGGCGTACGACCCAAAACCTTAGAATTAGTTAAAGCTTGTCCGGAGGACTAGACGGGAAAGGGGAATGAATGAAGTTCAAGAAACTCACAGGGGATGAAGCTCTTCTTGACAGCATATGCAAGCAAAACAACGACGGAAAAATCGAAAATCAGGGGATTGATGATGTCATCGTTGACGTCAAGACTTGGTATATACAGAGTACAGACACCCAGCCAGCGGGAGCGACCAAACCATAAAATGGGACAGGAGGCAACTTGTATATTACCCAGCTATGTAAAGGGCAAAAAGGGCCCCTTGCCCTCGCCGTTCTTTCATCTTCCGCGGAGAAGTAGATGCTTCCAGCTGCCAACTTAATCCGTCTTGGGGTTAAGAGACAAGGATAAAAACACTTTTAATACATTTGGTAAGTGTATTTCCTTTCCTTGAAATTAACAATAGGTTTTTTATTATTAAAAATAATTGTAGTGCAAATTCAAAATTAATTTAATTTAACTTGTATATTTTAAAATACAAAAAAAATTAACTTTAACAATTTAATTTAAAATTTTGAATTAAATGAAGAGGTAAATATATTTCAAAAATTCAAAAAAGTACACATTTATCAAATAGAAAAAAAGTGCTTGTGCAAATATACTTCCAAATAATAATATGATTAAGCGCTTTATAAATATTTTGACCAAAAATTTTATTCATTTAAATGTTTTTTTTTGATAAGTCATCACAACTCCAAATGGAATGGTGTCACAATAAATTTGCATAGGTTTCTTTTATTTTTGCTTTTTGGGTTTCCTATGAGTAATCCGTACTTAGACCGATTTCCATTTTTAATCATTAGGCCCTGTTTCGTTCTAGGAAAGTATTGGGGAAAGGGAGAGTAAATCCATGGAAAGTATTTCTTGTGTTTGGCAGGAGCGGGAAAAAAAAAGGCAGAGGAAGAAAATCATGG